GTAGTTTCTTTGTTGTTTGTGTTTGTTGGTCGCTTAGTTGTTAGGATTTATAGAGAGTGGCGCGTGCAAAACACTCAGTTTGCTGAAGAAGGCCGAAGTACCGAAACGTCCAATAAACAGAGTTATTATAGCTTCAAGTTGGTGTTTTGTTCTTTTTCATTCTACTTTTTTATATTTATAAACAGAGTTATTATAGCTTCRAGTTGRTGTTTTGGTCTATTTCATTCTGGGCTATTTAAACCGACCTGTCACTTTTCATATAAGATCTTAATTTCTTCATCAGAAATAGCGACGGAAACTTTTGGTCTGTTTCCCTTCTCAAGTTTCTTTAWCTGTTTTTGCTTTAAGGTCAGTGTTTTACTTGTTTTTTCAAACGCAAGATCATTGATAATGCTGTTTGGATAGGACTTTGTTTAAGATGTCTTTCGAAACTTGATAACATTCCTCTAAACGACGACGGTTCATACTGTTTGCCTTCTTTGGTTCGCACACACATGAAAAACTCACTGAGAAGTTCATTCAGCTCGGTAGGTGGAATGTCGGGTATCTCACTACGAGTTTCACCTTTGGTTTGAAGAAACCTGCTTATATGGAAACATCTCTTGCCGTCTTCTTAACAGTGTTTGCATTTTCTTGTTCTTGTATGAACGACTCTATAGTATTTTCGAGTGACACAAATCTGCTTTCTCCAGCCATTTTCAGTCGGCTCTCAAGTCGCAAAGGCGACAGGCGACAGTTTGTTGACAGTCGGAGCCTTCGTCACTCGTTTCTGATTGGCCGAACGATGATTTTTCACTAGTGAAAAACATCGTTCGTCCAATTGGAAACGCGAACGCCATTTTTTCACTAGTGAAAAATATCGTCCGTCTTTCTGATTGGCTATATTCAGCTTACGAACGAGAATTTACTAAATACGATTTGCGTGTGTAAATCTCAGTAACTATGAGATAAACAGTAGTTCGTAATGTGACATTTTACCTATATATATATRTGTGTGTAACGGTGACGTCACTTCGTATTCGACTCGGAGAAAAACTTCTGACTTGGAAGAAAAAATAAAATTATACGTGTTGCATTTCATACCTCGTGCACGGGCTTTAGGAGACTCCTTGTTTCGAGTCGTGAGAAATTCTTGTTCATGGAAAAAAGAACACCCTATTTACTTACTTGAGTCTTTAATTGCTAGTCAAATAAGCTTGTGATGAATAAACATTAATTTATGGTCTGCTGAGTCCATTTCTTTCCATATTTATAGTAACAATTACGACTAACCTCGCGCCATTTTGAATTATACACTGGTATTCACCAGTCCTACCGTCCGATCAAATTGCGTGGTTCCCTAGCTAAAACTCAACCGCCAAACATAAAAACCCCCAGGGTAGGCCCTAAGTGCCAATCCATCGTACAATCCTCAATGCTAGCTAATGACGCGTCATCGCCATATTAGGAAACTACCCTGTCCCCTTCACCCATATAAGGAAACTACCCTGTCCCCTTGAATCCAATACAAATCCGTTTGTTTTGAGAAGTTTTCCGTAAGGATTACAGCTATAAAAATAGTCAAGTGAATAGTTACAAGATAATTTTGCTGATAACTTTGCAAGCGAAGAATAATGAATGGTGCTTTTGGGCGGATAGCATGTAAATACAACTTAAACTGATCGATTTATCGTTAATCTTAAAAATGTGAATTTCGTTTATTTGCGTACAGATTAATTTCGAACTTCGTTTATTGGATATTCTTTTACAGAGATGAAGAACTTATTATTAAGCATTTTACTTGTGACCCCGATGCGAGAGGGACGAAATTTTAGATGACGACACAGCTTGCATCAAGCTTTGGACGATTCAAAATGATCACGTGGTACAAAATCCATCGATCCCATTGGCAGAGAGGTGGGCAACGCCCACTTAGGGCCTACCCTGGGRGTTTTTATGTTTGGCGGTTGAGTTTTAGCTAGGGAACCACGCAATTTGATCGGACGGTAGGACTGGTGAATACCAGTGTATAATTCAAAATGGCGCGAGGTTAGTCGTTAACTGTTACTATAAACATGGAAAGAAATGGACTCAGCAGACCATAAATTAATGTTTATTCATCACAAGCTTATTTGACTAGCAATTAAAGATAAAGACTCAAGTAAGTAAATAGCGTGTTATTTTTTCCATGAACAAGAATTTCTCACGACTCGAAACAAGGAGTCTCCTAAAGCCCGTGCCTCGTGCCCATTGCACTATTGAAACTCTGAAACTGTTTTGTTGCTCATAATTGCTATTTAGTTGACAAGATATTAACAATTAAAGCAATTATACATATGTAAAGAAAAAATACATTTACTTAAACAATAGTTCAAAATTATATGTGGTAGGTAGGAATACAAAATAAATAAATATTTACTTACACAATAGTTTGAAATTAAACGGAAGGTTTACAGGGAGACAAAATCAAATATGAGTTAATTAAGGGAAATCCAATGAATTCATATTCGACTGTCTTTGGCAGATCGGACAAGCTTCGGTTTACTGCATTCTTGTATATTTTACATAAAATAGCTACAGAAGCAATTAATGGGGGGAAGGACGGAAAAGTTTGTTTGGTCTTTTTTTAATACTCGACTTTTATTTAAAAAAGAGAACAAACAATCCTCTCCCTCCTCGCTTCTGTAGCTAATTTATGTCAAATATGCAAGAATGTACTGAACCGAAACTTGTCCGATCTGATTTCATTCGCCCTTAGTTTGGAGTAACTTTAATTCGATTGCCATCTAATCAAACATTTTAGCTGGTGTTACTTTTTTGTGGCAACACAGAGTTAACTCAAGACCAACTCAATGTTGACTCAAACTCAATCTCAAACTCGGTAGATAGCTGACACATTTTATTGATAATCTAATTAGCTTCTTTTTATTGCTTTATTTACAGAAAGACATAAGCAATGACTACTTTACCAATATAACGTGTCTGGTATACTCATATGATGGAACAGGTGAGTAACATTTTCTGTTATTCTCATTACTTAACACTCATCTTCACTTTCATTATAATAGACGTCAGCTTCTCACATTTGACATGTCATTATGAAATAACTTGGATATCTAATTCTACCCTCTTGTTTGCATCAGGCTACATGTATGTTAACACAGAAAAAGTTATCTATTGCTTAAGGCTATGGTGTATTTCAGCTTTTCAACTTTTCAACGTTTTGGTTACCCAACGTTTTGGTTACTTTCCGTCCAATCTTCGTTGTATCGGAAGTGCTCGAGATACTTTCGGTCAGATTTTTTTTATAAGAAATGTACGAGTAGGCTCAGTCTCCACCGTCGGGATTTCGTGCGCCCGCGATACTCTCTCCCCTGACGGCTGGGCGCATGGGGTTCGAAACGTGTCGCGCATGTCCGTGACGTTTTTGTGTAATTAGCATATTATGAATAACGGNTGGACTTAAATAAAGAAAACGTAAAACACTACTTCTGCTTAAACTCAAACTATCCTGCGATAAGTTGTCACGTATGGCGGTATTTTTACAACTGCAATTTGACCTTTCCACCAGGTCCGTTTGTATCAGATGTGAAGAAAAGACCGATAAAGGTCGAAACCGATGCAAAAGTAATTCGAAAACTATCTGATCGTGAATATAGCTATGCGGAATATTTTGATAGGACTTTCCATGCTTAGTCGGTAAAATGGCGAACACATCTTTCCTGCTGATCAAGTTCAAGAATGCTACTTTCTGCTCCTCCGATAATGCCTCCATATTGTCAAAGCTATTGATGTAATCTGGTCAAAAACGACCTCTGATACTAAAGAATTTATCGTAAAAGAGTATCAAGTCGAGAATCTGTTTATATCTCTATATCCCTTGGGACATGACAAATAGCAACAAAATCTCTTCCTCCCCACCCATGTAACAAAGCTAATCGACCAATCATAAGAGAGATTAAAAATTGGCCAAATCAGTGAGACGGAACAAATTTACGAAATCTGTAATCTTATTGGTGCGGCCAGATCAATCATCCAACCGACTCCTACCAGAGGTTTGATTTTCGCTCGGCCTTGCGGCCTCGATTAAGGCGCTTCGCGCCGACAAAAACAATAACGAGGAGAGAAAATATCAAACCTCTGGGGCCAGGGTAAGTTACTAGGGGCTCGGGTTGTGCATTCGGACTACCGTCGGATCGAATGAAGGCAGCCTGCTTACATGAAGTACTAACCAAACTGCGAGGTGAATGGATCGATAATACAACTACTAAATTTTACTTATTCATACGTTTAGCATACAGTGAAAGAGTGATTTAGCTATTCAACTAAACAACATTGTTTTGAGTCTTGAATAAAATGAATATTTTAATAAACTTGATCAATTTAAGTTGTTATTACAACGCCGTCTCCAGACAAAACAGCCGCTAGTGTCGCGCCAGTGGCTGAATCAGACTCATTTAGAACAACCAAAACCCCTTTAAATTCATTTTATACACTCAAATGTCAAAAAACATTCAACTCAACATTCTCAACATTCAACTCTTTCAAATGAATAAGCCTTTTTCCAGTTCAGTGCGAGCGACCGCTGTTTTAGTAGACAATCGACAAATTTGTCACTGTTGAAGAGTTCATCAAAGGCGAAATGTCTAAATACATTAGCAATATGATGGCATTCCTTGCCCTAGAAATCTAGATAGCCCACAAGAAAGGGCTGAATGTCTTACACACTTCATTTACGAAGATTCCAACCGCCAAGTTATGAACTTGGTCGATGTGCAAGGTGTCGTTGTTGAGTTGTTTGACCCTGAAATCGCATCGAAAGTCCAAGCTCCAGATGGCAATGAAGAACTTATGTTTACAACTGGAAATCTGTCCAAGCATGCCAATGACAATTTCATAACCGCGAACACTCCTGCAATTCCTATTGCAAACTCCTTGATCTGAAGTCACTGCTGTAATATCTTCAGTAAAAGAGTCATAGTCACAATGGACAAATATCATTTTAAGTTTACAGTTTGTTTAATGATGAAGAGAATATAGTTATCTGCAGGTCATTGAATCCACTGGTCATTTCTTTAGCCTGTGAATATGCTATTAGATTATTATACTACCGGATGTTAATGTTTTAAAATGTTTTTCATAATGTCCTGAGATTGAACCCATACTGCTCATGAATTGTGTTCAATAATTCAAGTTTGTCTATAAACTCAAAAGAATATGATAGGAATATTGTTTTTGCTATAGTGATATCATAACCCATGTATACAATATGTAGGATGGAGGTCTCTTGGACGTGTTTATTATAGCATAGAGCTAGTGCACATCACAGAAGTGTGAAACAGCTAACTTAAAGAAATACCAAGCATAAAACAAAAAAAGATTGAAACCATTTCAATCTCTTACTTGATTCGCAAAACATCGGTTTTATTGCTTCTATTCGTTATAGAAGGCGGAGGTTAGAGAAAGCGGCAAATTCAAATTCATGTTCAACTTGCATAATAATTAGGCCACGGCTAATTATCAACACAAGTCTCGAATTTACCAAAAACATAGCAAAGTACGGTATAACGATTTTAGTCTCATTACTGAATTTAGAATCAACTTAGTAAAAGCCCGATTGAACCCAAGGGTTTTTCTTTGATCCTTAGAGAAAAAAATTAGCAACAAAGATTTTCCATACAAAAATGAATCAAAAATACCCTAAGTTTAGGTCAAATTTACCAAAAAAGTGCTCAGCGCACCAAAAAGCCAAATACATCATTATTTAGGTACATATCTTGGCTACAGTAACCCGAATGAACCCTTTGAGATTTGTCAGTACTTTTCGAAAAACTTGCGATTAAGTGAATAGTACCATTTTGGCCATTTTCTTTGTAAATTCAGCGCTCTCGCACGTCACCAACCGTGGCGGCGGCGTCATTAATTGGATTATCGCCTAGCGATGTCCACTAATTCTGCCCTACTGTGATTATGGTAGTTTGAAGTTTTGTTTTAAATGAATATATGCATCTTTGCATTCATTGGCTTTAACTTCTTCAACATTTGGCATAAGTCGGTCGCATTCTCTCCGGAATGCTGGTTCAAGAAAGTCTTCATCAATGTCAGGACACCAGAATGAGTGGCTACTTCTTTTAATTGCTTTTCAGAAACTGGCAATCCTAAAATAAATAAGCAGGAATTACTATTTTAGTACCACCATGTRTTCAGAAAAATAGGAAACAATGATAGGTTTTATTGATGGTTTTTGCTACGCAAAGATTTCCAACAGTAACTCTACTTGCACTCGATTTTTTTGTCAAAATCCATTCTTTTGTCCACATTTAACTGCTCCACAATAAACATGAATGTCCAAGGATTCTTTTGAAGCTCTTCGTCAATGAATTGCTTTTGGGACGTTATTTTTATCGGCCGTTCAATTCTAATATTCGGATTTAAGTAATGCTGACTATAACTAATTTGGTCCGGAGGCACAGGGGTCCCAAAAGAAGAGAGTATTCTCAAATTGGATTGGCATATTTCTAACAAAAGGCAATAAACATTTTGAATCTACGGGGGAAATTGCTCAACAATTGCGAGACGAGGCGGGGGAGGGTACAACCGAAAGCAACCAATAGGGCGTCAGCCGCTCTGTGAGTTGACGTGTTCGAACTAAATTCAAACTGCTTCGACTGAAATTAAACTTGTATTTTCAACAATAACACTGTGAAGCACTGTTTACTGCATTATGTAAAATTGAATGGAGCTCAAGTTGAGCAAGAGAAAACAAAAGAACTAGACCCTGTATGCAGGGTTGACACGTACCCTTGTTGTACCTGATGTTGTGAAGTCAAAACTAAAATAATGATTTGATCCTTCGGGCCTTTCCAAGATATGATTTTTGCGATAAGCTTATATGTGGTGGCTCTTAAAATTTCAGCTGTACCCACCTTTGTGATTCTGCAGTATAATTTAAGGTCAGATATATAACCAGGAATGAATCGGTTACGACGTGCGTAGTTACTAAAAGAAGGAATGACCTAAAATGATCTAAAATGACCTAAAATGATCTAAAATGAGCTACAATGAGCTACAATAAACAACATTTAGTGGAAGAAATGGTGATATTTTGTATTATCGTACTGTTGGGCACAACAAAACCACAGGTAGCCCAAGCACTACACTTGTCGGCTTTTCTCTGAAGGTCTTGTGGGGAAAAACGAAAAATTCAATAAAAGTAGGAAATCTCAAACTCACACAATATATTGCTCTTAATGTATTACACATCTATGCGAAGTTTCAGCTCTCTGCAGTCAAAAAAACTGCTTTTTTTATGTTGGTCCCCTAGATAAATAAATACTAGTATTTATTATCTAGGGGACCAACACCAAGAAAATCATAAAAAAGTACTTACCTCCAAGATGRCTTGTTADTGACAATAGTGATAGTAATGACCTTCACTTTTTCCTCAAATTATTCAACCAATCAAATTTGGTTGCTATGTGAAGTTATTTTTCCTCAAATCATGATAAACCAATTAAATCATTGTTGCCGTACAAAGTTACTTTTCCTCGAATCATGATAAACCAATCAAATCATTGTTGCCCGTACAAAGTTACCTTTCCTCGAATCATGATAAACCAATCAAATCATTGTTGCCATACAAAGTTACTTTTCCTCAAATCTTGATCAACCAATCAAATTATTTTTGCTGTGCAAAGTTTTTTTCCCCTCAAATTATTCAACCAATCAAATGATTGTTACTGTGCAGTGTAAATTTTTCCCTTAAAGTAATATGAACCAATCAAATATTTGTACCATGCAATTAGTTATTTTCCCCTCAAATCATTTGACCAATCAAATTATTGTTAAGGTGCAAAATATTTTTTTCTAATAAAATGTTGTAAAATCTGTAATATGTAGAAAATGTCAATTCCATGCCCCACTTTCCCATAGAAGAATAGTAGTTCTTTATTTTCTGGAACAACACCCTTTCCTAAATTTATATTTGAACAATTATTATGCTTTAAA